TGTGATATCAGAATGCTCATATGAATATGTTACATCAATAACAGAGAGTAATGTTTCCAATCTTTTTAAAGGTGGTTAACTTTTAGGCATAAATATAATCAGACATTTTATGTTTTAGATCTTTCTTGCCATTGATTCACACCAAATTCTGGTAAAAGAATTTGAAAGCTTCCACAGAGTTGACATTCTTGCTCAGATTCAGACTGTTCATCTGCGTATTTCACTCGAAAGATTCCTCCAGCATTTCCAAAAGTTCCAAGGTAATTAGGCGCCGAAAAGATTGTTACAAGTCTTCTGTTGAATACAAATTCATATCCATCTTCAACCACTTGATGTGCTCTAACAATGAGGTCTAAATTATACTTCTCTAAAAATTTATCGACCACATCTATTCCGAATGCCCAAGAACACCCTCGATCATTGGGAAGCCAACCTTTCGGCTGTTCCCCATCCGGCATAATGTCTAATGGATCCGACCAAAGTAAATCACACAAAACGCCGTATCTTGGAATTTCAGTTGGTCTTTTGATTCTTCCGAGAACATCAATAATATTAGATGAACTGCTTGATAATAATTCAGGAGAAATGCCGCCATGGCAACAAAAAATTCGTCTTTCGATAATTGCAGCTATAGGTAAATATCCAAATAGATTAACCATGGAACGCCAGCATCTGCTGCTCCCAAAACGACTGCGAACTTCTCGTCTAAAGCCATATATTCTATTTAAAACAGAGGATTCGTGATTGCCTCTTAAAAGAAAAACATCGCTAGGATATTTAAGTTTGTAACACAACAAAAGCATCAAAACTTCTAGAGACCAGATTCCTCGATCAACATAGTCACCGAGAAATAGATACCTTGTTTCCGGTGGCTGGCCACCTAACTTAAATATCCTTAGCAGGTCATAAAACTGTCCATGAATGTCACCACATACAGTCAGTGGAGGTTTTAAATCAAGAACAATAGATTCCTCTTCAAAAATTTTCCTTGCAGATAAGGCAACAGCCATGACCGCAGTTTCCTCTATATTAATATGCATTTGCCCTTCGGGAATGCCATTTAAAAGCGTCGTCACAATTGAATCAACGTCAATAGTTATTGTTTCATCCCTATTAAATATAAATTTAGAAGCATATTCTTCATCTGGAGTAGGAATGCGGTTATAAAGCTTGTACATATTTCATTTCGCATCAGCAGTGCTATATTAGGCGACGAAATGATGTAAAATCTTCATAAATAATACCAATTAATAATTAAAACAAAATAAATTATTATTATTTTAAATTATATTTAAATTAATAATTTTGAATTTAATAAATCTATTGTTATTCTTTTATTAATTTACAGCGATATTTAAGATTGCTGTTGCACGATGGGTCGAATGGATCCTAGAGATAAGATAAGGGAGATGCAAGCCTCTATTAGAAAGGAACAACGCA